GACGGTGTTTACCAACAGGATAATGCACCATGTCATAAGGGTTGAATCGTCGAGGAACATTCCAGAGACTTTCAAGTCATGTCTTGGCCCCCAAATTCACCTGACCTTAATCCAATAGAGCACTTGTGGTCCTACTTGGAAAACCATATTCGTGCTGCCCCACTACCCCCTCGCAATGTGAGGGAATTGCAGGACCAGTTGGTGAGCTCTTGGTACCAGATACCTCAGACTACTTATCAGCACCTTGTGGAATCAATACCACTGCGGGTGCTTGCAGTTTCGAGGGCTAAAGGTGGTTCTACATGTTATTAGCAGGGTGGTCATAATGTAATGGCTCTTCGGTGTATATGGTATTACATAGATAAATATGAATGCCTTGGGGGAATTTAAAATCTTATCTTACAGCAATCCAAGAAGCTCTACATGATGGAAATATACTCTACAAAGTAAGTATATTAAACGAGAAAAGCTTTCCGAGTATCTAAGTAGCATGTATACATATGGGCTAATAAACACGATCACTTTTTGGGAATTTCAAAAAGCTTACTGCAACTCATTGCAAGAAGCTCTACACCATAACAATACGTTCTACAAAGTATATTAAACATGAACATTTTTCCTAGTGTCTAAATGCATCGTATACATAGGGTCTTATAAACACGAATACAACCTAAAAACTTGAAAAAGCTTATCATAACACATTTCAAGAATCTCGACTCCATGATAATATATTCAGCAATGTATATTAAGCATGGAAAGCTTACCGAGTATCTAAATACAACGTATACATGCGGTCTTATAAACACGATCATGAGCTGGGAACTTGAAAAAACTTACTGTAACGTATTGCAAGAAGCTCTACACCATAACAATATGTTTTATAAGCTTCACAAATCTAAATTTAATGTATATATACGAAATTACATAAACACTCATGCCATAAGGAAACAGGAAAAAGCTTATCCTAATGCATAATAAGAAGCACTACACTTTGCACTACAGTTTATCAACTTAAACACAATGTATTCATATGGTATTACACAAATAAACACTCATACGTCTGGGAAAAACCTCAAAAAGCTTATCTTAATGTATTCCAAGAAGTTTTACACTATAACAATATGTTCTACAAAGCTTGGTCTTAAGTTTTTCTTTTTTTTTCCTTTCACTTTCCATCAAATCCATTTTCCAAAGAACAGAATAGGTCTTCAACTTCAAACTGCCCATTTTACCCTTAAAATTGTTTAGAAAATTTCTAGAATCTGTTCCATTTGTTGAGAGGAGGCAGCAATTCCCATTTGAAGAGAATAAACTTCAATGAAATCTTAGCGCTTTCGCACTTAAGCTGCTTCCAGAATCTTCGTAATGGCATTTCTTTTATAAACACAATCTAAATGATTCTTTTGTTCCCTTTGAGCTAAAAAGCCATATATTAGGAAAAAGATTTAAAGAATTCGGATTCCTTAGACAGATTTCTAGACTTTCACAAATTCTGGAAAAAGTATTTGAATGTTCTAGACACTTGCCTCATTGACTGGTAGCCTCAATTAAAATTTTTTTACTATCATCACAAATTATTGAGCCATGATAGTTTAGTTATAAAAGTTCAATTTTATATTTAAAAAAACTATTGTTTTCATTTTTTACACAAATTTTGAATTTTGAAGGAACTAGATGGGTTTTTAAAAGATATCAAAGAGTTTCATATAGTAAAAGACTTATGTTCAAACGACTTGCATGTACAATTCTCTAATTTGTGGAATTCAGGATTAAAATTATTGTTTTTATGTTTTCATACTATACAACAGTAACGAAATTATAATTTAACTTTTTTTTTAATATATCTAATCTGCTAAGGTATCTGAATAATGCAAAAACATGATTTTGAGCAAAATTCTCTAAATTGAGCTTATTATAAGTTTAGAATCCCTGTACTCTTAGCTTTCTAAAAATACTTTTCTTTTGTTGTACTTTAATTATTTGCAAAGTTAAGTCAGTTTTTGTGCAAGGTGATGAAAGTGGATAGGCTAATGATTTTAAATGTTTTTAATGAATTTAGCTCAAAATCAGATTTTTCACATTTTTCACCACCTTAAACAAGATATCTGTGGTTTTTAAAATGTCTACGATTTTTCATGAGCGTTTGCGATTATAGCACACAAGTTTTGAACTACCGACTAAGCAAAAAAAGTAGAATTTCTTTTTTATGCGAAGTCCAAGTGTGAAAGTTTTTAAAAATTCATTTTTTTAACTACCTTCATCCCTAACTTACTAGTATATGCACTTGCTTTTAAGACAATAGCTCAAAACATATTTGATAGCCTTTAAAGTAAAAGACTCGAAAGATTTTTTTTGTTTTAGGCGATAGAAGTTTTTTTACAGAGTTTAGCAAACATGCAAAAAAAAAACATATTTTTACCTAAAAATGGCAAGTTTAAAATAACAATAATATTTTTTTTGCTAGTTTTAAAAGTATTTACACATAATAAAAAAATAGTTTTTTTTTAAATTTTATATATATACAGGGTGAGTTCCGAAAGTAATGCGCATTTTCTGTGGAAAATAGATTATTGATCCTATGGGTACAAATGGTTAAAATTCTTTAAAATAGTTCCCTTGTGCGTCAATACACTTGTGGAGACGATTCTGCCACGCCTGGAAGGCACCCAGGAATTCATCGACAGGAATGCCTCTCAGGAACCTTGTAACATGAGCTTGGATGTTCTCCACCGACTCCCGGTGCCTTCCCTTCAGCTCTCTTTTCAGTCGAAAGAACAAAAAAAAGTCACACGACGCCAAGTCAGGGCAATAGGGAGCCTGGGGCACCAAGGGTGTCTTACTTTGGATCAGGTAGTTTTTGCTCCTCCATCAACACCTTCGGCACAAGCTTCGCACAGACCTTTCTCATTTGCAAATCCTCCGTCACAATCCTATGTACCACACATTTTGACAAGTTCAGGGTGTTGGTGATTGCCTGAATACTTAACCGAAGGTCTGACTTCAAAACTTCACGCTCACGCTGGACGTTTTCATCTGTTCGGGCTGTTGTTGGGCGTCCAGAACGAGGCTCGTCGGTGACCCTCTCCCGACCCTCCTTGAAGGCCTTGTGCCACTTTCCACACTGAGATCTCGAAATGCATTTCACCTTAAAGGCGTCTTGAAGCATGTGATGAGTTTCCGTCGCATTCTTCCCAAACCGCACACAGAACTTTATCGCTTTCCAGCGAGCACTCCATTACGCTGTGACTCGATCGAAAAAAAGACTTTGCGCAAAGACACGTCCTACCGCTCTTACTACTCAGAGCGACCTGAGACCAGGCTTATTTGGAAGGACAAATCCCCCACCAAATTTTTAGACCAATCTGAGTGCGCTGCGATTGATAGTCGCGTCACAATAAAATCATGCGCATTACTTTCAGAACGCACCCTGTATTTAAAAAATAAGCTGTCGAAACTAGTCAGACACCTTAAACATTCGCGTTTTATAAAATTTATTGCTTGAAATATACCGTTTTTTTTAATCTTGAATGTGCAATTTTGGCTAAAAAGAAATACTATTCAAATCATATCTGTAAAAACCTAGAAAAATCTAATGAAAAATTACGTGTGCATAAAATATTGCTTATACCTTACATATTTCTAATTTCAGGAAAATAGTTTGTAATACAAATTTTATGGACTATAGAATGCTCTTGTAAAATACAAAAACTTTCTTTTTTAAAAATTTGGAGAATTTTCATTCTTTTCATTTGGAAAATTTTCATTCAATTAAATTAACTTGATCGGGTCACTCATCATTTTTACTCATAAACTTTAATTTTCATTCCATAATAAATTAAAGATTCTAAGAAGTTTAAAAGAGTTTTGGTTTTTGATCCATCTCGCATTAATATTTTCGTGATTTTTGTGAACGTTTTTATGTTATTACTCAACACTGCTACCTGTTCCTTACAGAAACTTTTATTAAAAATGACAATAACAAGTCAATAAACACACCTAAAAGTATTTTATAAGAGAAATTTAAAACAATATAATACAAAAATGTATCGCTAAATTAATCACAAGCGTGTTCTAAAATAAATCATTAAACCTTAGTATAAACATGAAGCTTGAGCAATCCTCAAATTTTTTGAAAATATTCTTCAAAAATAACAACATTTTTGAAGGGTTGTGCAAATGAA